TATTTCTTTTCTTTTTGGGTTGATGTCTCTATGCTGGCTCATTTTGAGTTTCTAGTATAGAGCTCCCACATGCAGGTGTTCTCAGCAGTCGCACGGTGCAGTGGCTAGTATGAGATTGTTTATTTTTGGGAGATTGAGACAGAGATGTGGCAGTGTCATGCCAACTCATGTGCGAGTGGGAGATGTTAGTAATGGGCGCCCATGTGGCATGACCATTTGAACATAATTTGGATCTTATCCAAATAGGTTTTGAATTAAATTCAAACCTATTTAGGATAACCACTCAGGATATAGATATTATCAGTTTTAACTGATATGGATAAATAATAATAATATAATATATATCTGATATATGGTTTTGGGTAACCAAGATAGAAACAACGTAGGTTTTGTTTTCTACCCATATACTGACTCTCTCCCAAGAAACAACATCAAAGCCATTTGCACTGTGGTTTGTGTGGGTGATATTCACCATTGTAATATCACCCCACTGCTGGGATTGATTGATTAGATTCTGGAAACACGTGATTTATCCACGAGATTTTAGATCAAAAGAGATATGATCTAAACATTTTATTCCGCTGCATGTTTTGTGTTTTGATTTACAGTTACATTTATGCTTAAATGTTTATTCAAGCCGAGAGCTTTATATGTATAGAGTTAGGACTCTTTTTTTTGTTGTAACCAAGTGATATTTTGGAAAGATATAAGCCCGTCGGACATTTATTTTTGTTGCTATCAACTAGTGTTACATGCTGTAATTTCAGAATAAACATTTATGAAAGTATAATGCATGTAATATCTCTTGTAATATAAATTCTGATGAATGAAAGTATAATATTTTCAATTATGTTTATGAATCTCTCGGGTTGGATTATCCTCTTTATTTTGAAGGCGTTACAATTTACTTCCTTCTCCACTGTCTCCATCAAACCACCACCACTATTGCCGCCGTTACCACCCTCAACCCTCTCTCTTATCCGTCTGTCCCAATAACCACCCATTATTAAAATTTGAAAATTTAATTTTTCTAAACCTTAACCTCTCTGTCTTTTTCTCACTATCGAGTTATGGTTGTGGGGGTAGGGGGTGGTTTCATAAAGGTAAAAAAGGGTTGAAAATAGTTGCGGTTAGGTGGGCGTAAGAGTTAGAGTTTGGAATATTTGGGATTTAAAAAGAATATTTAAAATTCAAGATCAAGATTTGTTTGGCCTTGTGGATGGTGTAAATGATGAAACAATTTTTATTTTTATTTTTTTTAAATTTTTTTTGAAGAGTGTAATTAATCAATGACTATAATAAGTTGTTTTTGTTGCACAAATATAAGCCTCTCGTCTCACAAGCCTTTTGTTTTATTTCAAGAAAAACAAAGGTGCTTCTATTTACATCATAACAACATTTTATCATATATATATTTTTAAGTATATTTTGGTTCTACATACAATTAATTTTTTACTCCTCAAATCTGTGAATTTGAAAATTTAGGATTCGTTTGACAATGACTTTTTTAGTTGGTTTTTTTTATTTTTTTTTTAGTCTAAGACTTTTTTGTTTGTTTGGTTTTCTTATTTGATTTTTTTAGCTTTTTTACATTGAAATTACAAAATTACCCTCAACTTGGAAATGATGTTTTTTTGACTTTTTGTTTATATATGGGTCAGTTTGTTAATTTTGCATCCCAACTCAAATGTTTTGACATTTTATGATTTTGTAATTTTTTTTTATCATTTTGTAATTATTTAACCCAAAATATTTACCAAACCACGGCTTAAATTTCTTTATTCATCTTACAACCACTTGCTACCACCCACCAACCCTTTGTTAATCTCCTGTACTCGTCATTGTCTCCAAACCCCTTTCCCTAAATTTCTCACTTCATTGCCACCCGTCCTTAGATTTATTTCATTTCTTTTTCTTCTTTTTTTGAAAACCTTTAGATTTGAAAATCCATCACTAGCTTTTTATTCTCTTTTGAAAATCCTAGATCTGGGCTGAGGGTAAAGGGAGTTGTAGTAGTGGGAAAATGGTAGAGATTGTGAGGGTAGAGGCAGCGAACATGGTGGTACGAAGGTGATGGTAGGAGGTGGCAATTATAGAAATCAGAGGTAGTGGTTGGAAAGTTTGAGTTAAAATTTGCAAGTTTAGTGATAAGAGTACATATTGTTGAAAAAATGGTTTATTGGTAGCTTTAATGTGAAATTAAAATAGATCTCAATTATTGGTTGATGTGGTATTAAATATGTTTAGATTATTTGTAACCAGGTCTTTACACCACAAAAAGAATGACAAAAAATCATTAAGAATTGAATGAGAAATTGTCTTATAAATTTGGTCTCATAAATGAGGTATTAAGAATTGTGTATACCAATCTCACATTAATTGTAGAGGAAAACTTTGATGGGTATTTAAACCTCAAGATTATGAGAAGGGCATGAGTCCTTTGGGGCACCCGAATTTTCCAAAGGAAGGAAGTTATGAATGTTTTAAGGATGGGCTTGGGTCAAGACCTTACTAGCCTTCATGGCTGGAGGCTCTTCTTCTCTTCCCCATGATGTATAAAATGAGACCCATCTCCCTTGATTTTGGTACAGATTTTTGCCTTCCAATTATACAGTTAGTTTGCTTGCTCTTATAATATTCTTCCTGTGTGAGAGAGTGCTGCTATTGTCAGTTCGCCAAAACTATCAAAAGGTGTTTCTTATCTTGGGAGACAGAAGTCAACATTCCTTCAGCACCTACGGTGAGACGACTAATCTGTTTTAAGGACACTGTAGTGTCAAATAGGTTTCGGTTTGATTCTTTGTTTTCTATATTTCGGCTCCATATGCATTTCTATTAATTATGTTTCATGTTATGTAATTTAACTGATGACATATGAATTTAATTGTTTCTTTTAATTAGCCAATTTCAACAACACATATATGTAATATAAAGATAAAATAAATGGTATATTGCACTTTTCGTTTGGGAATTGATTATTTTAATTGATTATTTTAATTTTTAATGAAAGATGTGCAGAAAAATAAAGAGAGTGATGTAATAGTGACTTTTTGGCTCAAATCTTAATTCCCCAAACGAGGCCTTCTATTCTTACATTTATACTAAAATCTCACTTTAATCGCTTCACTTTTTATTGTAACAGTCAACTTTCTATACTTTAAATTAAGGGCAAATTACACTAACGCTCCCCATAGTTTGAAAATTATCACTTTGATCCCTGACTTTTCAATTGTGACACATTTGACCATGAATTTTGAATCTTGTTTCAAATAAGGACAATTGAAGATATCATTACTTAATTTCAAGAGCAAAATCATCAGTTTGATAAAATATAAACTAATTTGACAAAAATAAATGTCAAAATAATATTTTTGAATTTTTTAAAATTATTTCTACACACCAAATATAAAATTATGTAAAATTAATATATATTTTAGACATTTATTTATTTTACCAAATTAATTTTTATTATATTTAGATGATAATCACGAATGAATGGTTGTTTTTATTTTCACTAAATTAGTTTATATTTTTTCAAAAGTCAAATATGACGATAGCTTTAATATTATTATTAAACCAATCTATTAAATCAAAAAATCCAAAACAAAAAATATTTCATATATTAAATATATCGATTACATAGTGGGTAGTTATTAGAATTTTACACTAACAGTTAGTGTAAATAATTACCCATTACATATTCGGTCCCTATAGTTTAAACATTTATTTATTTATAGAATATAAACTTTCTATACTTTACTTTTTGGCTCAAACATTTATTTATTTATTTATTTACTAAATTAACTTGATAGGTAAATTGAGAAAAATTAAAAAAAAAAGAAGGTAAATTACATTGACACACCCATGAGATTTATGTTTATTATAGTTCCCCTTTCACTATTTAGAAATTACATCTTCCTCCCTGAGGTTTAAAGTTTTATTACAGATTTCTCCTTCCAACAATTTAATTTTTTTTAAATACCAATTTTGTCCTCACTAGGTAAATTACATTGACACCCCTCACATTTTAGAAATTACAATCTCCTCCCAAGGTTTAAAGTAATATTACCAATTGTCCCATCGGTTAGTATTAGTTGAAAAAAAAATTCATTGGAAAAAAAATATTTGAAAAACAATTAATTAAAAAAATTAATTGAAAAAAAAAATTTGTTAGTCAAATTTTTAAATTTCTGTTTAAAAATCAACGTACTCTCATTTTTTGAATTTATATTTTTTTTCTTCAAATTTACAAACTGGGACAACCATTTATAAATCAAAAAAATTATCAAATAAGTTTTTATGACAGTTTTTAAAATTTTTATAAATATAAATTGAAAACTGAAAACGAAATGGTTACCAAACACATCTCGGATGATAAAAATGTCGTAAAATTAACAAATAATTAAATAAGTTACTAACGTAAGAAATGACTTATCAAAAGATTATTAGGGTATGTATAGTTTGATTTTTAGAATTTTTTTTTAAAATTTAAAATTAATTTGGTTAAGAAACAAAAAATAAAAAATAATCATTATTTTTATATAATTTTTATCTTTCGAGTGTAATAAACATAAATCTCAAGGGGTGTCAGTGTAATTTTTATCTTACATTGTTTTTTAAATAGAAATTTAAAAATTTGACTAACAAATTTTTTTTTCAAATAATTTTTTTTTTCAATGATTTTTTTTAACTAATACTAACCGAGAGGACAATTGATAATGCTACTTTAAACCTTGGAGAGGGAATTGTAATTTCCAAAATGTGAGAGGTGTCAATATAATTTACCCAGTAAAAACAAAATTGATATTTAAAAAAATTAAATTATTAGAAGAAATAATCTGTAATGAAACTTTAAAATTTAAAGAGAATATATAATTTTTAAAATATGAAAGAAAATTTTAATAAATATAAATTCAAGAAGGTGTCAATCTAATTTACTTAAAAAATTAAAAAAATAAAAAATGGAACCATTTTAACCGACATCACACCCGTAGAATTTGCACTTTGGAAACTTGAATAGGAAAACGAACAACGGTATAGATATGCATTATGCATCGTCATTCGTCAGCAAAACCAGCATTATTGAGATTCATCACATCGAGGCAACAATCAAATCACCAAGGACCCCATCGCCAAAAAGGAGCGAAATTGTCGGTAATGCTTTTTGTTTTTTGTGTGTGCAATTGATCAGTTGTGGTGATAATGATAACCATTGTACTGTTTCTTCAATTTGAATTGCATTATTTCATCACAGATACAGAGAGAGGAAGAAGACAGTTCAAATTGCAGAGAGAGAGAGAGAGAGAAACGGAGACAAATTGGTTGAGGGAAGGGTTTAGGGTTTCTTGATTCAGTCTCTGCACACAGAGAGACAGAGAGAGAGAGAGAAGATTAGAGTTTTGAAGATGACGGAGGTGATCCTCCACATATACGACGTGACGAATAGCGATTCAGATAAGACGAACAACACCATTGTTCAGATTAACAAGATCTTCAAAGACGGTATCGGTCTCGGTGGCATCTTCCACAGCGCCGTTCAGGTCTCTCTCTCTCTCTCTCTTTCTCTACAGACATATATATGAAAACACGAATCTTTGATTAGATATGAGATCTAGGGTTTTAGTTTCGGTAATTGGTGCTCTGATGTTGAGACTTTGAATTCGGTTGTGAGTTACTAGTTATGTATAGTTCATAGATGACTGATAACTTAGTCTAGTTGTTTGAATTGGATTTGCTACCTAATCATAGCTTTTGTGATTTACAAATGTGTTACTGGTAGTATCTAAAACCTGATCTCGTTAAAGTGGTGAGAGTGGACGAAAGAGCAAATCAGTTTAGGCTGTTTAGTATCAAGTTCTAAGAAGCACAGACACTGACACGATACAATACAACACGGGCACGGCGACACGATGACTTGCAAATTTTTAAAAGATGCAGGACACTACACAAGCACTTTTTTTTTATAAATTTGTTTGTTTCTCTTTTATTATTATATCTAAGTTATTTAGTTTAAATTTATAATTAGTTTTATGTATGTCTAATTTATTACACCATCTGTTTAAGGAAATTGCTTGCTTTTAGGAGCTCTAAATGTTTAGAGGTTGTTTGAATTGAAAGAAATGCATGTGTAAGAGCATCTCCAACGGTAGTAGGCATTTTACCTATCTAAATATTACTATAAAGTATATATTTTATTTTGCCTATCAACTGTTTTATGTTTTTACTCCAACCATGCTCTTTATTTTAGCTATTTATCCAAATACTATTAATTTTATAGAATGCCACGTCAACAACAAAGATGGAGGGAAATGATCCTAATGATTGAATACATTTTGCCTAGCGTTGAAGGCTAGCTACATGTAGCTAGTGAATATGAGTTGAGCCAAAATGCCTAATCATATGCCTAGTGCATTGGAATTGAAAAAAGTGAATCACACTAGGCATTTTAACTAACAATTATTATATGCCTAGTGCATTGGAGATGCTCTAAGTGCTTATATGTGTTTATAATGTGCCTTTGTGCTTATGCATATATTATGTGTGCCTACTTATAATCATACAAGTATGTATTCATGTACATATATGTTTATTATGTACCTTTGTTTTTCTTTAATAGGGTGGTTGTTGGTGTGCTTTCTGTTCTGGTAAATAAAGAATGGAAGAATCTTCTCCCTGTTGGACAGTTCTCTCAATGTTGCCATTGATTGAGAGTTCTATGAAAGGATTCGTCCTCTCCAACCTGCTTGTCCGTGTTACTGACTCTACTGTTTGATTCACATAAGCTTGGTCTTGGCTGTTAACTATTCTCTTCTTTTTGTCCTTTTCTTACGAATACATCTTTATTCTTCATAAATTTAATCGTTTGTGTTGATTACAGTTCTTTTCAGTATTTAATCCTAGCAATAACTTTTAGTGCTTATTGATTCAATGGTGACTGAGGCTCGATAATGTTGTAAAAAAAAAAAATAACGCCCAAATAGTACATATTAATGTGTGCTTGGGAGAAGAAAGATTAGGTACACATCTAACATTTGGCATAGTGCACAGAGAGGTTGCCCCGAGACTTGAACCCATAAATTTAAAGTTATTAGGCCAAGATTTTACCATTGAACCAATGGTCATCACTAGTCTAGATAATTTTGTATAGCTTAGAAAATCAGAAATGGCTGAGTGTTGCTCGGTAATGTCAACTTATATGCATTAGGAATATATGAGTTCCATCCAGAGCAATTAATGTGGAGAAATACCATGATAAAACTGCACACAGAATGACCAATTTAACCCCTTTTTTTGATTTGCTCTTTTTAATTGCGTTACTAACCACCCAAAACACTTCAATCCACAATCCGTTCACTTCTCCCCTTTTCTCTTTCGTTGTGCTTTCTTAGTTTGACATACAACTATCTTTTGATTATGTATCTGAATTCTATAGTGGAACAGCATGCAAATGTGAGCATATGTACTATTCATTATGTTTCATGGTTGCACTAATTGTGAATGCTAGAACTCGTATGAGTTACTAAATATAATACATGTATTATATGTAATAGTACATGTAGTGATGGTGGAAGACTAAAAGCGGGGAAGGAATTTTTTTTAATTTTTTTTACATATTATATATCTGATATTTATGGTTTCCAACACCGTCTAAGATTCTTACGGTTTACTCTTGTTTTGGTCAAACTCAAGTTACATTGCTATTGTTTCCTTGGCCAGAAAAGAAGGGGGGAAAATATGCTTAGCCATGGACCATGGAGGCATAATAATCGTATGAAAAAGTATATCATCAAGTTATTTCTTTTCCATCATTCATGATATCATCAAGTTGCTTGTTTTGAATGGCCTTTTGCAACTAATATTTGAAATAATAAAACAATTTAATTCAATCTTTATAGGAGAATTAGAAGAATTCTCAATTTTCACGAGAACTCAGCAAAACACTTGAAAGCATGAATGCTTGCATGTGTTTCTTCCTTCCCCCTGATTTGACTGGAACCCTTTGCGTCATTTATTATTCCTCATTTGCATAATAAGTTCTTTGTGGAGTACCACAACTCTTCATCTCTTGTAATATGCCATTTTCAATTCGCATGTGTTCTATTGATTTTCATTTTACATAGCATAAGCATATTTCTTGCATTCGCGATCCAGCTTCATTAACCATGAATAGATGTGACCTTATGTTATTGGTAATACTGTGATTTTTAAATTCATGTTGAGTCAGAGTGCATCTGGAGATTTTATTCTGCATAATTAGATGGAATGTGATATGATGGCAGGTTTATGGAGATGATGAATGGTCATTTGGCTACTGTGAACAAGGTACTGGAGTTTTTCGCTGCCCGGCTGAAAAGAATCCAATGTATACATATCGTGAATGCATTGTTCTTGGGAAAACAAACTTTTCTATATTCAAGGTCAATCAGATCCTGATGGAACTATGTAGGGAGTGGCCTGGATGCTCATATGACTTGTTATCAAAAAACTGCAATCACTTCTGTGACGAGTTCTGTGAAAGGCTTGGTGTGCCTAAACTTCCTGGTAATTTGCATTGCTCTCTCTCTCTCTCTCAATGCCCTTGACATCTTGATTTGGTGTTTTTGTTTTTAATACAAACCATTGTAAAATATTTACTTACTTTGCATATACAAATCAATTGCCAACCAGAAGTCTAATTAATGTCCACTGTTCCTTGGAAAATGTGAGATGCAGTGTTACTTCCCCATGCAAATACATTTGTCCTACATGCGGCATATGGTGCTGCAATGTGCCATACTAAGTGGAGATATATATAGTCTTTGCGGAATTCGTCTTTTACTTATTACTTGTAAGTAAAATAAAAAAAAATAAAAAAAAAAATAAGAAAGAATAAGAAATCTTCCTTTTATTCATTAAGCTGAAATATTTTCATGCAATTTAGTTTCATTATGTTCTTCTGTTTTCACTCAGCAATCTGGATAATTGGCAGGTATGTAACAGGTTTTCAGTCTAGTATAAATCAGGTTCTAGTATAAAGCATGAATATTATTGAGGTCTTCCATTTTTTCAAATACATTGAATCATATTACTTATGGTTTTTGTTACCATGTAAAGTGGAATTTGTTTCCAACTATGTTACATGGACTTATATATGGGTGTCAATTACTTGTCGAAGTATTGGATTTATCTAATTGTCATGCCTAAGGACACCAGGACACAATTGAAATTTCATATTTCTCAAATAGTTCTTTCATTTGTTAGGGTATAATGGTGTTTACAAACTAACATAGTGTTTTTTTTTCATAAAATGAGTCTTATCCTTATGCATAGTTCAACTCTACTAAAACATATTGGTAGGGTAGGGTGCATGTCCAACTAGACTTGTTGAAGACATCCCATATCCCAACTCAAGTGGTGAGTTTTTGACACGGGTACTTCACAAATTTAAAAGATTTCATGAAACATTGGATTCCAATCAATCTATAACCTAGCTTCTAACATAAAACACAAATATTGATGAGGTCCACAAATTACAAAAGGTTTAATGCGCCATTTGACATGTTTTAAGTCTTTTAGAGTTTGTCCCTCAACAATTCGTTGGTTCCCACATTGGCGTACAATTTTTAACTAATTTTAGTATTGGGTAACAGAAAGTTCCACATGGCATGGGGCGACCCCAATTCAATTCAAATCTGATCCATACGCAAGGGTAATTGATGGAAATTTGGGAAAAAATTCTAACCCAAAAAAAAAAAAAAAAACTCTTCTCTTTCTTGGAGGGGTAATTAATGGAAATTTGGGAAAAAAATCTAAACCAAAAAAAAAAAAAAAAAACTCTTCTCTGTCCTGAAGTCCCCTCTTTTGAACCCCAGCTTGGCTGCCACCACCATGCCACCACCTATCGTAGCTCAACCACCACAACACCACCATGCTACTACATACTGTAGCTCCACAACCACAGCAGCAAATATCGCCATTGTTATCAAAATCCCAATCCTCTATGATCCTAAATTGCCGAAGAGAACCAAATTGTTGTAGAATAGGTGTTATAGCAGGATCGCCATCATTCTTCCCCCACCTACCCCACATGGCCCAACCACAATATAAGCAAAACGAGCATCAACAACTGGGGAGATGGGTGGTGGCAAGGTGGGAGAGAGAGGTCGTGGAGCTGGCGGGATGAGGAGAGGGGTTGGGTGGGGGTGGCAACTTGGAGGGTAGGGAGGTGGGGTGAGGGAGAGGAGTTGCGGGTTAGTCAAGACCAATATAGATTATGGATGCAAGAATTGTGTCTTCAAACTTTTGCAGTTTTATTGCTATTAGCAGTACTTCTTGTAGTTGACTCTATCCTATGAAAATAAGAGTTCTGTTTTAATCAGAACGGTTCTATGGTTGTCATTCACAATGAAGACCATGTTCTTATACCTTCTGTAACAGGTTGGGTTAATCGGTTTGCAAATGCGGGTGACGCCGCTTCGGAAATAGCAGGAAACACGGCATTACGGGTGAGATTCTCATACTCTGCTTCTGCAGTTATACCTCAAATCCAAGAACATGTGCACATCGACGCTCTCAATAAATTGAATTTCTATGGACAGTTTAAATTTGCCTACGACTAGACTGCTACAGCAAGTTTTCCTTTGCAGTATAGACTTGTTGGTAGCGCACATTAATATCACTATTTATAAAACCTAGACTGCAAAATTGTAAATTCAGGGATACTTGAATTGTTTTCTCTTAGATCTGGTGCTTGTTAAATTTAGCTTTTCTCTGGTTTGTTTTTGTGGGTTGTTGCAGCTGAGACAAGCTAAAACAGAGTTTGTATTAGCCAGTAAAGTGGCTTACCGGTTCCTTCTAGGTGTTAGTTCCAACTCATCTGTTGCAGCTGAGTCCCCAGGCAGTACCAACAGAGGGACTCCGAGATTCCAAGCTAGTTGGTTTAAAAACCTTGTTTCTAATGGTGCCAAACCGTCCAGTAGTTCAGAACTAGAAAACCAGGAGGAGGCCGTGATTCGACAGCAGCAGCAGCGACAAGATGCAGCAGAAGCACCCCCTGCGGCAAAATTCAAGGCGTGATATTTAAGGAAGCATTTTCCTCTAGCATCGTTGTCTTGTGTACTAGTTGTAAACCTTGTGAAGCAATTGGCAAGTTGTTCGCTGTGGATCACTGTAAAATGTTAGAAGTTCTTTTCAACTGTGATATTTGCCCATTTCTGCCCAAGAGTTTGAATTACAATGTAAGGTTTGCATATATCTTCTGATGTTCCTTGTCTTTGTCCTTCTGTATGTATGTAACACAATTCTGTGTAGAAGAACTATAACTGTTTCTTAACTGGTTTTCTTGTGAGCAGGGTGGATAAGTTCAAGTAGATTTAGAAACCACACATTGCAAGTACATGGAGCAATTGGCGAATGCTGCAATTGCTATGTTTTCTTATCAAACCGCCCACAAGTTGTTTGTATTATTTAGCAGTTGTGTTCAGTTTCTGCTTATGGTTCAACAACTATCTTTGATGGAATTGAATCTATTTAGTGCATTTATGATTGTATAATTTTGTGACTTGATGACAATTTGCTAGTTTGATGAAATTGAATCTATTTAGTGGCTTTGTGATTCCATAATTTCTACAGACAACTTTCATTAATTGTTCAATGTAATTTATATATCATGTGTAATGTGGTTTACTGCTGCATAACACTCAAGCAGTGGTCCAAGTGTATACGGCACTACTCAAGTTGCGTGGTCAAGCAATGGATTCAAAAAAATAAAATTAGGAGAGAGAGAAAGGGAAGTGCCAGTGAGCTCCAATAATGGAGTTCCAAGGTGCATCCTAATGTAGCCCTTTTCTTGTTTTTGACTTTTGCCTCTATTGTAAAAACACACACACACACACACACAACCGCCCCCCCAACCCAAAAAAAATAAAAAATAAAAAAAAATTACACATTCAAAAAGCATAGAGACTCATAACCAAAGGTCAAAATTTCACATCAAGAGGGCATGATGTCACTAAATTTAAAACATCAGCCAACCTCTCTCATTGCTTGCCAGAGAACCTATCAGACTGAACTCATAAAATGTGTGTACGTCAACAAGCATGAGTGTGTACGTCAACAAGCATGAAAGAAGCTTCCTGTCAAATTGTTAGCACCTGAAGTAAAATGCGAGCATAAGCGTGCACACAAGCATTAAAGAAGCTTCCTGTCAAATTGTCAGCACCTGAAGGCAAATGCATGTCAACAAGCATGAGCGCACATACAAACCTTTAAAAAACTTCCTGTCACATTGTCAGCACCTGAAGGAAAATAGAACAAATAAACCATATCTTCTGCTTTGTCAAATCACACAACTAAACTCTCTTTCACCTTTTTTCACCTTTTTTTTTTTGAACAACCGGAAACCTTTATTTAAAAACTAAAAGATAGCAATCTTACAGCAGGGCACAAAACTGGAGGACCCTTTACATCATTGTTTAGAACAGAAAACATAAAGAGGGTAAGGGAGTGGAAAACCAAAATTATATATATATATATATATATATGGAAAATTTGGATCCACACTGCATGCCAGAATTAGTTCCCCCACTGTAAACAATTTATAGCAGTGGAACCCACCACAAAGTCCACGGTAATTGATTGAGAAAGGATAATTAAGAAAACTAGGTCAGTAAATAGTAGTTGCAACATAAACTCAATCATGAATCCTACCGCTTTAACTGCCATCACAGTGAAAGAAGACAAATTCAACGGACAGTAAGACATCTAGTTCCATAAGCAGTGTAACCACAACACTAGGAACACAGCACAGATACATTGATCAGATACTCATGGAAATCACTCTCTGTAGAGAAGACGGAGATCTGGCTCATTGATGTCAAGTTGTGCAAGCACTTCACAAGGCATTCCAAGCTTTTTAAGAAATAACTCCAACTCATGTCACTCAAACAACATTTGAAAGTATAAAAGCATCTTATCCAATGGACAAAAAGGGTTTGTGCATGACAAATATGTACAGAGCATTATTGAGAACCATGACTTAGATGAAAATACCACAAGGTGACGGGAAAGTATAAGTGAGACTGTTCATCTTACCCTCGTAACATTCTGTTGAATAGATAAGAGTCAACATGTGCATCTTCCACAATTTGGAGTGAGGCAACAGCCTGTGCTGCAATATGACCCGCAGTGATTTCTGCATTCTCCCAAACTCTCTCATCAGAATAAGGTGTGTAAAAATCCCCCACAAACGGTCCAGGTGTGACTGATCTGTCACTGTTTTCCCACTCATTCCACTTGCATTCAGATCCATGAGCACAAGGAACCCACCCACTTCCTTCCAATGAATGTTTTGAGAGGTCCGGATGAGGGAGGACCACTCTCGTTCCACCCATAAAGAGGTCAATATTGCTAGCACAATCCCAAGCGCTGAACCCCTCATCCTTCTTCAGCATAATCTTGCATGAATCCTCTGAGTCTTCCCCAAGGAGGACATGCAGAGCAACTGCCTCAGCAATTGCAGCACCCTCCTCATCAAGCTTCTGCTGTTCTTCTATCTTTTTCTGTTTCTTCTTTTCTAGCTCAGAACGAATGGCTGCTGAGGTAGCAAGGGCTTTCTCCAACCGCCTCTTCTTCTTCTCAGCCTGTTTGCGGCGATCCAACTCGTCCTTCACCTGCTTCTTCTTTGCTTTTCTAACACCAGGTGGCACTTTGGTGCACTCCATGTTTCCAGTAAGACTACCAGACTCTCTACCTACTTAGTCTTGTTTGCTTAACTTTTTTCTCCTAAATAAAACTCCAAGACATATACATTATCTCTATGAATGTTTCATTTATTTTGTAACCCTTTTCTTGGTTTCTATACTAGTAAATCCTAATTAATTCCCAACTTGGAATCTAATTTAACGTCAAGGCATACACACCTACACCCACTCGGGTCTAAAGGGATACTTTATCTTGCACACAATATACTCGCAAACAGAAACAACAGGAGATAGCATAAGAGGAAAAGGGTACACACTGACAGATCCATCCCTCAGCACCATACTTCTTAACTTCCCACAACCCTTGCATTTACCCATATTTTGTACACCAATAGAACAAATAAGCCAATTGAAATTGAAAAGTTTCAAGTCCAGCTCAAACAAGTTACATTGCCTTCCACCCCTGCAGTAAAAGCAAAGAAACTAGTATCTGAGACATAAAAATTTGACAGATGGAAAAAATATAGTGCAACAAATGAAACTGCTCATCCACCCAACAAAAGACAACCAAAGACAAATCATAATAAACCCCTTATTCCCAGACAAAATTACTACAAATAGAGAAATAATGATGTCTGATTCAGTACCTCATCCTAATAACAGAAGAAATAAAAAGAATATAGATAAACAACGGAATCTCAACTCTTGAGAAAGGTTGACGACTCAAGTCACTCTCGGTGACTCAAACAAGGATATGTTTATATATATATGTGTGTGTGTGTGTGTGTATATTAGAAGGGCTATGCACACATGCGATGGTTGTGCAGAAATGACAGTTGTCGCTGTCATCTGGGAAAAAAAAAACCCAAATGCTAATGGAAGGGGAAAAGGAAAATTTTTTTTGAAGAAATTAAAATGTGAAATAAAAAATATGGACAGTTGCATAGGGGTAATTTGAGTATGAGAAATGCATGACATAGCTTCAAAACTTGAGTGAAAAACTGAGTGAAAATTTGATCAAATTTGAGTATCTCCAATCCTTGCTCTCTCTTTTTCATCAAATTTGAGTGAAAATTTGATTAAAAGCTTGATCTACTATCGAAAACTCCAATCCTTAATCCTCATTTATCAAATACTTTTTAAAAATTCCAAACTTAACATATTTTAACCATTTGTTATAAAAGAAAATTACCTCCAATCCATGTTTTAAAATTTTATTAAATTTGAGTAAAAATAGGACTCTTGGAAGTTTGGTGAAGGATTTGTTTCATCCTTGATTTGGTGAAAATTTTAGCCATCCCTTGATCTTATACAAGTTTGACGAGATGGTTGGGGCTAATTTTAGCTCTCTATTCATCAAATTTGAATTTGATAAAAGAAGTGGTGAAGGATTGGAGATGCTCCGTGTTATAATAGCATATATATATATATATAGTAAAATACATAAAACCTTGAAATCCTAAGTTACCATTCACTGAGCAAATTGTTCCTAAAATCAAAACTTTAAAAATAAAAAAGAAGGAAAAATCACTGTTTAGGGCTCCATAAACGTGGTGCGCAATAATTAATCGCCTAAATTGAGTAGAATCTCAGTGAATTGTCAGAAAATAAACAACGAATAATCAAAGCCCTAATTATAATCAGTGATATTAGCAAGAATGCTTCAAAACCTAATCAAAACCCAATCCACCAAACACAAGACTTTCCACATTAGATCCGTTTACCTAACTGTGTCAGAAACTCAAAATTCATAGTTTTAACATGTGATCCACTGCACACACAATTTCATATCCAAACACAACTATTCAATGTTATAACAGTAATAAGAAGTAGATCGAAACACCTACTAATCCAAATTACTCAAAATTCAGCAACATAACAAAACACTAGAACTATTTCCGAATCGTAACATCAATTCCGCAGAAAATGAAACCAAAAGACAGAGATATGAATGTATCGAACCTTGTAGTAGACGGAGGAGAGAGAGAAAATCCCCAAACTGTATCAAGAGAGTATAGAGAGAGAGAGAGAGAGTGTGAAGAACGCGTGTTTGGATATTCAGAAACCTAATTTTCTAGAGAGAGAAAATATAAACTTGTCACATGAGATTGCCGGTGAGAGGTGACGGGGACAAGTAGAAGGAGGAAGGGCAATGCTGTCATTTTATTGAGTTGGAAAACACGTGGCAGTTGATTACTGTATGGATGTGAGGTACATCTAGAATCACCAATAATGGTGACTTTTTTGGAAAATCTCAGCCGTTGGTTGATGATAACTTGGCGACTTTTTATAGTAGGATCAAATTTTTGTTTTCAGTTGGAGGGCCCACTTTAAATCTGGTATATGAACAGTCCAGACTTAACAAAGGCTCGGAGTTGGGGAACTTTGGTTGCCACTTGTTATGTAATACTCTCTTTTTTTTTCTTTGTTTTTTCTCTTACCTTATTTTAAAAAAAGAACTAATTAAACTATAAAAACAAAATTAAATAATACTTCTGCTATTTTAAAATATTAATCTTTTATTTCATTTTTATTATTTTAAAATATTAATTCATTTTTAAAAATTAAGAACCAAAATAATATGAATTTTCTATCTTTTAAATTCAAAAAAATTAGTATTACCAAAGGATAGTTTTGAAAAGTTACGTATAATAATTCTACTACAAAAAAAATTAAATTATCTAGAAAAGACTATTATTTTGAAATGGAAAAAGTAAATATGAGAAATTAAGGTGCATAATACACTTTTCTATAAAAACGACACTAATTCCTTGTCAATGTTTGTTTACTTGTGTTAATTAATTCCTTGCTATTGTTTGTCTTTTAACCATGTTTTTTTTTTTTTTTAAATATGAAAAGCAATTATATTATGCTATTATCCTCACATTACCAAACATAACCCAAAAAATTTTTAAAAAAATAAGGAACCATCATTGCTCTATCACCATTGGGATTTGGGGTCACTGCTGTGGTAAATACACAGCAGTGACTGTTGTGGTTCATTTTGTGGTGCATTATGGGATTATTTTTATGATCTGAACCGTTTATGTTGTAAGGTTTGTTGAGTACTTCAAGCCTATCAAAAATCATATTAATCGGATACCAATAACTATATGATTGATAACCAAAAAAACAAACAAGAAGTTTTTCTTTTAAAAAATAGTATAAAAATATGCAATTCGATCATATAGTTGTTGATATCCGATTAATATGATTTTTGGTAGGCTTGAAGTACTTAACAAACCCTACAAAATGATCATATAGTTGTTGATATCCGATTAATATGATTTTTGGTAGGCTTGAAGTACTTAACAAACCCTACAAAATGAACGGTTCAAATCATAAAAATAAGCCCATAATAACAGTTACTGCTGTGTATTTACCACAGCAGTGACCCATAATCCCACCAAAAATTGCCATCTTGGTACAACATTGTTTGCAAGTAATCCTAGGGATGCAGCCACCACCATTGTCCAATGTATCTGTTACGGTTTTTTCTTTCATCTCACTCGCCGTGTGCCATATTAGTATACAATTAGTATACAAGTAATAGAAGTCAAAACAATTTGAAAGCAACATTTTTACAATAGTAATGATACAAATCTTAAATATTTTATTAATATTTTTATCAATTATTTGACAGGAGTGTAAAACCCACCCGTATTCATATAAGACATTTGATAGAAATGTTAATAAAATGTCTAAGCCCCAAACATTTTCCTCTTTACAATAGGTCAAAAAGGCATCAATTCAAAACTTGCAACAAATATAGTGGCGTCAAGTGTACCAACGTGATTCACTAGATAGTGTGAGCTCCATATACATACATATACATGACTACGCAAAAGCTGAAAAATCCAATAAAATTCAAGAGACATCATCATTTTACGAAGAAAATGCTTTTGATTTCAATCTCATAACCAAGGGCATTTAAAGCCAATCTCAGGACACCAAGATATCGGCAGAATAAAGGCTGCGTGGCATGATTTCTCACTAAGAAAGGAACGGTGGTGTTGGGTTGGGCAAAAATGAAAACAGAACTGTAGTCTTTGGAAGAAAGTTTCTCAATTATAGCTAAAATGAACAAAAATGTAAATCACATCACAATTAAATATAACAATTTTTAAAGACAAGCAGAAAAAAAAGGTTCATTCAGCAACTCAACAATTAAGTTTCAAGGTCTGATCCCTAATTTGCCAAAACTATGAAATTTGGAAAGATTAATGGATTCAAGAAAAGCTTGAACTAGGCGGTGCTCCACCAAAGCCTCCAGATCCACGCCCAAAGCCAGGCCTTGCACCAGAGCCCTGCGAGTTTAACAGTAGGCAAGCAATTAATATGAATGTGATTGAATCATGAATGCTTAAAACAAATCCAAGGAACTTGCAGCTACATAGAATTTAGAATCTTTTAAACCTCAGTCCGTAGAAATAATGTCAAATAAATAGAGCAGTGGGAAGAACATATCCAGAATGAACTAGATTTTGAAGGCCTGTGGAAAAATGCTACATTGGACCAACACATTTTTTTAACTGCGGTTCTGCTCCGAAGTCCTATATCTTTTTGATAAGCATTAGACCAATGCATTCTGAACCAACCAACTTTCGAACCTTCTGGTTAGAAACTTCTTATAAATAAAGTGAGATGGCAAGGACACAAGGGCTAGAAGATTCCTACTCAAAGTACAGCACATATTTGGGAGTTTTACAGTCAGTTTTGTAAATTTGTTAGCTAGATGCTTTCCATTTTGCTCAATACATACACACTTCTAATGGAAATGTTTTGCCTACTGTACAGATAGCATAAATAAATAAAACAACAACAAAGCCAAGGCGGGGGGGGGGGGGGGAGGGGACTTCTGTTAGCACTCTGTTCGCCATGACTGTGTTAATTTGCGACAAAAAGTTCTTTGAAGAAAGAAACTATAGGACTTGGAATCAATAGACCAGGGAGGGCCATGTTTACAGTGAAACAAGAGTTCCTTCGGTTAGAAATTTAGATATATACACATCTATAAAACAAACTCGTTCATTCATCCATAATAATGGGAAGCATAAAGCTTAAAAAAAACTTCAAAGCCAATGTGTGTCCAATTTCAATCATCAAAATAAAACCAACACACTTACTATGAAAGAAATACATCAACCTAGCTCTTTGCAGCATAGGGGCTAGCTACACATCTCCAATGCTAGAAGCCTAGAACAATAAAATGCTTTAAAATTACTGAGAAGCTGCCACATGCACTCCTCATATATGCCTAGAACTATGTTACCAGAAAATACTAATACCTAGTGAATTACGTATTGGCAAGAACATTCCGAAACATGGTACACTTCCGTTCCAAAACAGTAAATCTATTGATCCAAAGCGATCCCAAGAGTTTTTTCTAATATATTTCCTTCAATATTTTCTTAGGAGGAAAAGAATCAAATATACTAAAGATGAGTTAAGTTTTGACAAGACAAAATATAAAAAAATGAGCCATAATGCTCATAACAATATTCTAAAAAATTACATTTTGTTGGATGCCTAATAGTTAAAAAATAAAAAATAAAAAAAAAAATTACTCTAGACGTACCTTAAATTCTTAAGTGTAATATATACAAACCTAACCCTATCGTACCATATTTTAGAACATGTGGCGTATTGCGTATCACGTTCCCGTTCCTATTCCATGTACCGGAATAATTGACGTTCCAGGTAACATAGGCCTAGAACAATAAAATGTTTTTCATTTATAATGACTAATATATTATTGATAAAAGTGGAGCTTCAAGTGTTTATGTAAATTAAAAGCTTAAGGGAGCCTAATATAGTCATGCCAAACTTGTGGGGCTTAACGCTATTTTCTCCCAACCTCAACGGAGGTTAGTGTTAATTACCCTAAATACAAAGATAAGTTTCCATTATATCCTACCATTCAATAGTTAAATTAAGAAAATAAATTCAAATGTTGCGATTTAGCTAAACAAAGCTATTTAGGTTGAAGTTCAACTTCTCAATTTTCAAAATGTCTAAAAGATTTGTTTTGGAATGGTTACCAAAAAAATTTGCTTCATCACAAATATCAATAACCATAAAGTAAAAACTCAGTGACAAGAATAATGAGAAATTCAATGTTGATTCGGCAGCTTCATTAAATACCAATGACATGGGAACAATCAATGCATGAACCAACTAACATAAATCTATATCCATGCATGCAAAAAACAAAAAAGAAAAGCGTTTAGGGATAAGAAATTACCCTAAAAGAAGGTTGAAAGTCGGCCGGAGCTCCTCCCTTCTCACCTCCAAACTCACCTGGAGGTCCTCCTCGAGGACCCCCACGATACCCATCTCGGTCACCAAATCTTGGTCTGTCACCTTCAAACCGTGGCGGGCCACTATACATTCAATCAACAGAAACACATTACAAACAGTTTGGATTGGGTGATTTGGGAAGGGGAAAAAATGCATCTCTTTGTTCATTTGAGTGTAAAGAGGAGATAAATGGGGTAAAATAGAAAAAATGAAAAGAAACCTATTCCTCTTGTAACCTCATTTTGAATCTCTTCAAAAGTAGAGAGAATAGAAGAGCCAAAAAAAAAAATTATTATTTTTCATAATATCATAAATTGACACTAATAAAAAGCTATTTTGATAATATACCATGAAATAATTTCATTGCATTTTTTTTAAATGTAGTTTAACTAAACAGGATATGAGACAAATCATAAACTTCTCCTTTTTCTTCTATTTATCCAAAAATTTTATGTAGTTTACCTAAACAGGATATGAGACGTATCATACACTTTTCTCATTTCTTTTCTACTTATCCACAATAAAAATAAAAACAAAAACAGAGAGAAAATACAATCTTTTCATTTATTTTATTTTCTCTTCTTTCTTTGTGTAATCATTTCTTTTCTCTCCTAGGTTCCAAACAAAGTGTAGTAAAACCTATAATACAAAAATTAAAAATTTCGATCTAGAATTACCGGGGACGATCGCCTGGTGGGCCGCCCATGGGACGTCCAAGAGGCTTAGCAGACTTCTTCAAAGTAGCGGGCACAATCTCAGAAGGAAGGTTGAGGTAAGTCCTGAGGAATTCGATCCCATCATTTGTGAGGTACCAGTAATAGTGCATCCAAGCGAAGGTCTCGCGCACGTACTCCTTCGACTTGAAGCTCTGCATCAGCTTAATCACCTGCAGATTTGGAACATCGATCTCTGGGTGCTTTGCAAGGTTGAAGTCCTTCTTCGCATAGCAAACTCCCTCTGTGGATTCACATCACAAATCGAATATCAGCAACAAATACATAAACAAACCAATGCACATATATGTATAGAGAGAGAAAGAGAGAGATATATGTAGAGTGAGAAAGGAACCTTGGAAAAGGTATTTGCAGATCTCTTTACGGTTCTTCTCTGGAATTATCTGAGGATGAAATTGAAGAGACTCGTTATCTACTTATAAACAAAAGCATATAGATTTATACAGAGAGAGAGAGAGAGAGAGAAACTTACCATGGCTGCTGTGAGATGGAGGGTGAGAGAGAGTAAACTGCAACGAGAGCTCTGGAACTGGTTATGGCAGCCGAGAGTAGCAACAAACCCTAGAAGATGAAGTTTTATATGTTAGGTTTAGGGTTTAAATTGGGCCTAGGGTTTTATTTGTAATAGCCCTAGAAAGATGAGTGCTCTTGGGTTTGGCCCAATACAGCACGTGGCAAAAATTACCGGTTGTTTTGGGAAGATGGTTAAAAGTGACTTTTTGGCTTTTAACCAAGCTTTTGGCTTTTTTAGACAAATGATTTGGGAAGTTGGTATAAAAAAATATAAAAAATTAAATATTATATTTAAAAAAAATTTTCCAATATATAAAAAATAAAAAAAATTTCAATCTCCTCACTATTTTTCTAATACTATCTCTACCTCCTCTTTACCAATCTCCATTCTTCCTTCTTACTAATACCAAAGGATTATTAATCCCCTCCTTATCTCTCAAAAAAAACACTTCATTTTCAATCCCCTTCTCACTACCAAACCCAATCTCCTCCCTATAACCCTAAACAAACGGGGCCAAAATGTGCTTGCGTTTTGAGTGGTGCTACTATCCACTTTTTTGTCTTTTTTGTTTTGTTTTCTTTAGACACTTCTTTTTTCTTTTTTTTTTCTCATCTCATCATAAAATTTTATTTGTCTTTATTTTTAACCTTTCAAAACCCTAACCCCACCTTCCACCAGCCACCATCTTATGGCCCTCCTCAACCTCCCTCCTCGCTACTACAACTCTTCCGCAACCCTGTTCCCCTCCTCAACAGCTCCAACGCTTTCCTACCTCTAGCACTACCTCCCCTTACTCCTTCTTAACCGCAATTGCCACAATCCCTCTTCTTGCTCTTCCTAAAAACCCTAGATCTAGATCTCAATTGGGATCACAGCAAGCAAAAAAAAGAAAAAAGAAAAAAAAAAAGGAGATCGATGACAAGCATAGAGTGAGAGTGTCAAGAGGTAGGTGAAGGTGGCGAGGAAGATTGAAAGGACAGGTTGCAAGGATGTTCTAGAGAGGGATGGCGAGAGCAGAGAGCTTCTGAAGATGGACATACAAGAGAGAAGAAGGGTGTAGGAGGTAGTTTGTTTGGAAGTGAGGCTAACAAAGGAAGGCAAGGGAATGCCAGAGGAAGAATTGGTGAGTTGGAAAAGGAAGGTTGTCAGAACTAAGGTGGAGGTTAAAAGAGAAACAGTTGAGTAAGAGCATCTCCAACGGTTACTCAGATTTTTCACCAAATTTGAGTCAAAAATGACTCATTTTACCAATTCGATACCACTCGCTCCAACGGTGCACTTTCATCAAATTTGTGCCAGGGACAACCTGTTAGTCGACCGGTTAAGCGAATTTTTTTTTTTATTTTTTTATTTTTTGGAACTTTTTGAACCTTTTAGTGGTCAACCGGCTGGTCGACCGGTTAGACAATTTTTTTTTTTTTTTTTTACTGTTTGAACCTTTTTCTTCGAACCGTTTGAACCTTTAGGCGGTCAACCGATTGGTCAACCGGCCGGGCAACCGGCTGGTTGACCGGTTGGTCTCTCCCAACGGTTAGGAACAGTGATTTGGTAAAATGCTTCGCCTGTTCTCATTTTGGTACAAGATTTGCTGAATTCTAGATTTGATATCGATTTGGTGAAACCGTTGGAGCTCAAAAAAGTGACTTTTTCATCAAATTTTGAATTTGATATCAGGTTTGCTGAAGCGTTGGAGATGGTCGAATCTAGGCAGTTGAGGTCCAAAGAAATTTGGTAAAAGTTAATAGCAGTATTCATTTTTCTTTTTCTTTTTTTCATAAACAAAAATAATGAAAAGTAAGAAAATATCCATCGTTTTTATTTTTGTTTAAAAAATATATTTCTCAAACATTGAGGCATTGTGCTTATATATATCTGTAAAGAGGGATAAATTTCTCTACTGTTAAAGAGCAACAAAAAAGTTCAACACATCTGGCAATATTTGTGGACTATTTATGCTCTATATCCAACATCCATGTTTCCTGTACTAAATACAATCCCAGCCACGCAATCATATTTCAAAATTTCCACATCATACAATTGAAAATACATTGAATACAAATTTTAAAAACACAGAATCTTTTGCAGCTCCAAATCCTTCCCCTTTCGGCTACCATTCAATAAGAACTGGCTTGTGTTCACAATGAAATCTGATCAAAACCAAAAGCTGATACACCTGCACCTGATGCTCAACCAAACTATGATAAATGTGTGTTGCCTCGTCAAGGAGACAACAAAGAGTGTCACAACTATGGTTATAAAAAAAATGTGGAAGTGCAACACTTAGGAAATAAAATAAAACCAGAACCAGTTTTTCAGACCTGAATAAACTTGCGTGCACCTTTTAACACCTCGTGTCACAAACTCAATACTACTATAACTACTTGGAGATATAACTAAAATTTACAGCCCAGCTTTATAATTTACATTCGCGCATTACAATTTTTTCATGTTTCTTTTTCCCCTCATAGATAGTATGTGCATTATAAAAAGACAGTAATCCAGCAATGAACTGTGCACGCAGCCAAAGATATTGCAACAGGGAGTAGTACTTACAAACCAGCAATCCAAAGGATGTTAAAGTTTTATAGGTACACACAAGTACAGAAGCTCACTGAACATTCTCTATGTCCTGGCAATTTATGGGACTAAAATCAGTATTTTGGCTATGTCATAACCAAAGAATATGAAGGTTATTTTAAAAGCTTACCCGTATTTTACTGCACCAATGGATCGATTATCCTGAATGTTCTTGTTTGCACCAGCAGAGTTTTCCTTCTCTGAGTCAATTTCATAGGATGAAAGCAACCTCCTCTGCACCAGCAAATGAAGTGCTTAAAAAAAATAAATAAAAAAAGGAGCCTGACATGATGCTAATCTTATATATATAGTGGCTGGCAGACCAGGCAACCAAGGAGGGAGTGGAGGGGTGTAATAACCCTGATCCGTAATTAGCCACCAATCGGTAATTAAGGATGTTAATTAAGTGAATAAAATAAATTATGGGTTATTATGTAATTTGCATGATATTTGGCTTTCTATCTGTTACTTGTAGAGATTACGAAATTCACATGTAAAGGGCGATGGCCCCGGCAAGGCTACAAAATTCACATGTAAATATACTGCTTTTGATGTTTCGTTTTGTGAACTCTAAAGGGGTGACCCCACAATCCAAAGCCAACTTCTTTGAAGACTTGGAAAGTAAAACTCATTATCAGTAACATCCCACAATTTACATTGTATTCATTAAATTTCAACAATAATGCTACATTTTACCATATTTCTTTGCTCTGTTATACTTACCATCTTACTTATCAACATAATATTAGTGTAATGGGTTCCACCACTAATGTATATCTCTAATGCAATGTTGACAAACTAGTTTGACACATCAAATGGTAAGATAAAATAGTAAAAATAGATGGTCATTGTAGCATTACTCAAATTTCAATATCATTTCAAATAGGCAAAAAATAATAATGGTATAATGACAATTTTGTTTTTTTTTTGGATAAATTAATGACAATATTGTTTATCATAATTGTGTCATAACTGTATTAGTTTAATGGGTACCACCACTTTTACTCATTACCAATGCAGTGTTAACATATGAGATGATAAATAGAACTTAGTAACAAAATGTGATCATTGAGTGTCCATCACCAATAAAAAGGTGGCCCACAATTTTTTCTATATTAACGTACAATTTCCATACAATTAATCTCACATACAAAACAAAGTTTTTAGGTAAAAAAAATTTGTCATGCTATATTGATCATATTATCTTATTATATTTTGTTTATCATGTCGTGTGTTACACACCACGATATTAGTCTTTTAATGTATAATGCGAAAATGGTACTTGCATAATTATCTTTGTACACGTCTATCTTCATATGGAATTTTACTTACGTATTTAAACTGGTTTGTGTTTTGATTGGGGGACTAAATTAGGCATATTTTATTTTTACTGGTTTAACAAAAATTTCCAAACTTTTTTCGAACGTAGGAAATTTCATAAGGAAGTGAATCTTTTAATATAACTTACACTGCATATGATAACTTCACTAATAATAAAATAATTAAATTTTGTTGTCAATTTTAAATGCATATTAGTTGGTTCCACTATGTAGAAATTTTGTGTCCGCCATTGTTATATATATTGTATATTCAAATGCCAATAGGGCCCTTGAGGAATACTTGCATGGAAAGCAATTATATCAGGATTTTCTTGAATTGAGAATTATAGAGAATCAAGAGCAATTAATTAGGCAGCAAATGTACAGTTAAATACTGGGCCAGAAACAAAGAAAGCACAAGGCAACTAAATAGAACCTTGAGGTGCTGAAGAACTTGGTAATGCATTATAGCTTCTCTGATTCAAGTGATATTAAATGAGATTTAGGTAGTCAGGTCCATCATCTAAACTATGATCACGTAGTAGACGCCAAGAAAATATAAAGCAACACTTGGTGGAAATGGCACTTACATGCTCCTCAAAGTCGGGGCTAGTCAAATTGATGGAAAGGTTTCGCATCAACAGTAGCACCTGGAAAGGAGTCAAAAAGAATGAAACAGTTACAAATGTGGTTTCCAAAGGGCATGTGTACTTCTAGGAACAAACTCTTTAGCATTTAATCCATGTCTAAAGTCACTGAAGCGAAGGACAACTAAATAACATAAACCTATACAATAAGGCCAATGTAAAAAAAGCAATTTATATTATAAAGTCAAGTAGATCAAAGAGCCAAAAAAGCACAATAATGGAATTTGATCATTACCATTTTATCTTGAGGTTATTTTGAATACAAAATGTGATACTGATATCATTCAATAATGCTGCTATGATGCACACAATAGCAGGGAAGAAATAAACAACTGACCATGAAACATCCATCTTTTTAAACTTGTTCTAGTAAAAGGTATTTTCTATACAAACTTTAAAAGGGAGAAATTTATTTATTTATTTTGCAATTAATCCCCCGACATGTAATAATGCCTAGCCTGGAAGCCCTGGACCTGGACAGGATTTTAAGAGGTTCCTCTAGCTTATGCATAGTAGATTACTCTCCATAAACATAGGAGTAGTTGTCATCGTGTATTTTCTAACATCCGATTAAGTAGGAATTTTTTGTTTACCTGCATCGAACCATATTAAGGAAAGAAGTATACTACATCTACATTAGAATCACAAAACAATCAAAAGAAAAAGAGTATGGGATAGAAAGTGTACTGTTTCAACATCAATTGGATCCATCTTCTTTAGCTTTTGCAAATGACCAGTAGTGTTTGGGTCAAAGACACTGCCAATGAAGTTGTATACTTGAGCAAAATCGGGCAGAACTGCATGAAACAGAGAAGGTATCAATCCTGGTAACAGTACCAGGAGAACACAGTAAATATGATAAACAATTGCATGGAGCACAAAATAAATTTTAAGCACTTCGTTTACGACCAGGAAAAGGATGCAGATATGCCCAAACAAAGAAGAAGAAGAAGTATTCACCCAAAAAAAAGAAGTATCATTATTGGTGGTATAATACCAATAAACAAAAGGATTCGAAAGTACAAGAGTTTCATGCAGAAGTGTATGTCTATACTCCACAAAATATCTATGACCATAGTTCCAAGGGGACGTTAACAGCATTTACAAATAAATCCATTGTAACAAAATATGTGTTTGAGATCAACGAGAATTGAGTCTAATTTCTTACCCAATCAATAAGATGTCAGCACTCTAGATTGAAATAAGATGTGCAGGATACACACCTCTGTACTTTGTCAATGGGGATACCAGACAAGTTAAAATGGATATCAATGTCAACAGACACTTGTTGCACACAGTAACTTCATAAACATACACAGCTGTGTGCTGTTTCTAGATTGAAAAAATCCTTGTCCAACACCAACATCAATATCATTGTTGATTAATAATAAAAATTTCATAAACTACAACCCAGAAATTCTGCAAACCATTTCCTCCTCTGTAACAAAGTCCAACAATTTAACTGTAAATAAGAACTGGTAATGGAGAAAGCCCAGTCCTCTGTCTGTCTTAAGTTCTCATTGGAAGGTGAAACAAGTAAGGGTCTTTCTCTCTCTGGTTGCCACTTGGTGAGAAACACCACAAAGAGACAAAAATTCCTATACCAAGCTAACAACATTCCAAATATCTTTCTAACTTTTGTGAAGAGCGGAGCCAGAGAACCATATTGTTGTGACTCCTGACTACTCCAGCTAGGAATCATTTAATAGGGGAAGAAGCTCTATGATTGATTGATTCTTAGGTTTCAACTTCTATAAACACTTTGTCACCCTCTTTTTCTTTTATTTTTTATTTTTCTTAGTTGATTAGTAATACTCAAAAACTCAAGTCCTGACTGGGACTTCAACCCTGCAACTAGTAGAATATCATGAGAACTCCACTTCTTTGACAATATTAAATCAAAACTTAAAATTCAAGGCCTTTCTTTGTAAGTGTCAAAACTTAATATGTATATCATCGGGTCCTAAAGTCTTATTCAATTTCATCTTCTTTAGTGTAAACTCTATTTCAAAGTCCCTAATTCTACGATAGAACCTATAGTCCCGGTTTTCCTTATTACTACCTACTTCCATTTTCCTCATTTAACAACTTCTCAAAATAGTTTTTTCACCTCTCCTTAATCTTTTCATCCTTCACCAACACCTTAGAGTCCTCATCCTTGATGCATTTAACCTAATTAAAATATCTTATTTTCATCTCTTTTATCTTAGCAAGTTTGTATATCCTCTTCTCTCCCTCCTTACTATCTAGTCTAGTGTATAGGTTATCATAGGCTTTTAACTTAGACTCTCTCACTACTTTTTTGACCTCCTTATTGACCAATCTGTAGCGCTTAAAGTTTTCCTCAATTCTATCATTTTGCCACTTTTTAAAGCACTCTTTTTTTGTCTTTATTACCGCTTGAACCTCCTCCCTCCATCACCAAGTTTTTCTAAAGTTGGGTCCCTTTTCTTTCGACTCTCCAAGAACTTCCCTTGAGATTCTCCTCATTCAATTGGCCATCGAGTTTCATATACTGCTAGCATCATCTTCCAAGTCTCAAGTACCTTCTTTATTCATTCTATTCTTAAATGTGTCTAGTTTATCCCCTTTTATGTCCCACCATCTAGTCCTGCAACGCTCACTATCTTTCTGAGCTTGGTATTGCCCTTTAAAGCATAAATCTAGTACCAAAATCCTATATTGAGACGTCAGGCTCTCTTCAAGTACAATCACTACATTTTAGGCAGTCCTCTTTTTTTACCAGAAAGTAATCTATTTGGCTTCTAATTGACCCACTTTTGAAGGTTATCAAATGCTCCTCTCTCTTCTTATACATAGTATTGGCTACCACTAGGTCAGAAGCCAACGCAAAATCTAAAATACTCTCTCTAACCTCATTTCTATCACCAAAAACATACCCACCACGCACCCTCTCATAACCTAGTTTATTTACTCCTACATAGCCATTGAAATCACCACCTATAATTGTAATGCCTCATCCATTTGGTCCCAAAAAACTCTCTTAATTTGATCATTTAATCTTGGGGGGCGTATGCACTAATAACGTTCACTATATTCTCTCCAATAACTAGTTTAACTAACATAATCCTATCACCTTTCCTAATGACCGCAACTACATTTTCTACAAGGCCCTTGGCATTTTTCCTACCCCATTCATGTGTCTATCCTTACTACTATAATATAGCTTAAAACTGGTATTCTTTATTTTCCAAGCTTTCTCATCCGTCCACTTAATTTCTTGTACGCAAACTATACTAACTCTCCTCCTAATCATGACATCTACTAAGCCCATAGTCTTACTAGCTAAAGTTCCTAAATTCTATGTGGCTACCCTAAACCTATAATCTTCAACGAGCTTCTTTATCTACGCTCGTCCAGAAAAACGCGAAAACCTTTGCCCATTTTTCACTGCACCCAGACGTCAATGCGTCACCCCTTGCTACAATCACTCAATTCAAATTTTAAATGAGCTAGTTGTAAGCAATGAAATTACAGTTACCTCTCAATGGAGGGCCATGATTCCCTCGATCTGTCACTTCTACAGTTGGCCGTGTTCTCGGAGTGCTCTCAGTGCTACTGCAGCTGTTATTTGCCAATGGTTGCCCTGCATTTCATATCAGATATAACTTAACACACGATCAAAAATATGCAACAGATGACCACAGAGCTGATCAGAGTATGTCAGTGAACATTGAAGGCATGAGAATAATGTACCTTTCATTGCATGTGATAAACTGACTGTTTGTATAGAATTGTCAGTCCATGAAGATACAGCAGTACCAGCAACTGGATTCCGAAGTAACGAAGAAGAATCAGGCCTTGTTATAAATCCAGGTTCAGGTAAAATAGGCAATGTCTGAAATGATTCCGATACTTCTTGGAGCACTGGAGCTGCCAAAATGAGACACGGTTACATTAAAATTGCCTCAAGCATGACAACTAAATATGATACAAATGACCAATTCTGACCATTTTTGGAAGCCTTCTGAGGATAAGGGTGAGCAGCTTTCCTTTTTGGACGAGGGGGAGGTAGATGTTCACTGGTACCACTCTTTTGAACCTTTAGAAAATACTTCTGTGCATGACTACGTATCTGCAAAAGTTATCCTCCACTATTTATTCCTTTCTTTTCGGATATATAATATCCTTTAGTATTTGAATAAGTGAAATAGGGCATTTCTTATGCTAGTGGAATACACACTAACTCTGTAACAAACATGTGAGCAACAGTGTTCATTACTCCCATGGCATAAGTGAACAAACTGTAATCTATGACATGCCTTATAGCATGGTTTGTATCAAAGAAAATATGTTTGAACTCAAAGTGTTACTAACAAGATAATATTGGTGCATTCTTCACTAGATAATACTAAGTGCCTGCAATGCAATGAGTCTGCTGGGCAGAAATACCATACTGAGGCAATTATTTTGAGTTGTGCCTTTTGGTAAGATTTGGAGTAACTGAGGGAGGGATTTATGAACTGTCATAATTTCCTGATGTATTTTGGTCAAAATCATGGTGAAAGACAATTCCTGCATTACGTGGGAATTACAATATTGTTGAAAGGGCCGTGATTTGGAGAATCCCACATTGGTGTGGTCTTTCTCATACCAGAGGCATTGCAACCGTAAACAATAACATAGTGCCTGTGGAAGGCAAAAAGCATATTGGTGTTCCAGATCAAACTTCTCGATGAGGTCCTTCATAATGTTTAAATTGGAGAATTTCAAAACTAGAGACATGCAAAAAAAGGAAGAGTAAAAATTCTTTGAATGTATTACTTCAAGACAAATAGGACTCTTCAATGACTGACTATTTTTGGAGATGTACATGTGTGGGAGGGTTAGAGAGAGAGGGGCTGTTATAGTTGAGTGTCTTGTTGATTCTCCACCCCTTCACAGGGCTTTCATTGAAAGGGAATCCTAACAGCTGATCAAAACCACCAAATTACTAACGAGTAGTCCAACAAACAAAACACAATTGAGCTCCATATTTTCTATTTTTTCAATCTCTCTTTACAATTGAAAATACTTTTTGGAAATCTCTCTCATGCTTCTTGTTTAGCAATAGGAAACATGACTTACAAAATAATGAAGAAATAAAAATTTGAAAATATAAAACAAGATAAGCATATGATTTGAATTTTATGGATTTGAATATGGATTTGAAAAAAACACTTTGCTTGTTTTCACTTTTCTAAAAACACTTTTCAAAAAATTCTACAATCTTGTTTTCCGTATTTTTTTGTTTTTACTGAATTTTTAATATTTTAATTTTTTTTTTAAACTTTGTAGACATACCTAACATAAATATACCTAAAAAGTAAAAAATTTGTGAAAAAAACCTTTTAAAAATTCCCTAAATACCAAAAATACAAAAAAAAAAACGAGAATTCAGTATATTTTTTTGTATTTTTATGTATTTATTAATTTTTTAAAATATTTTTTCACAAATTTTTTACTTTTTAGATACATCTAAGTAAGGTGCATCTAAAAAAGTAAAAAATATGTTTAATATTTTAAAAATATTAACTAAAAACAAAAAAACACGAAAACCAAAAAACTCAGTTTTCAAAAAACTTAATCCAAAAAACTCAAACCAAACACACTGAATACAATTCATGAATCATGCAATTTTAAAATCTTGGGTTTTAAATTTCCATGACTTTTCAAATCCAAATATTTTAAAAATCTTCGAAAACAAACACAACCTCGATTATTTTATTTGTCTATTTTGGATGATCATGCCCGCTAAGTAATAGAGCAATACTATACATTTAAACTCTTTTTGCTACCAATTTAACATGATAAATTACAGTCTGTGCATGTAAGAACAACAATAACCCATACAGAAATCAATTGTATTATGTACCTCTATTGTGTGTGTATGCACGCCCTCACAAGCATGCATGTGTATTTCAATTGGTGCGTGCAAGTGCGTGCGTGCTTGTGTTTGTGTGTGTGTGTGTGTGAGAGAGAGAGAGAGAGAGAGAGAGCAGGGAATCAGTAAGCAATGAAATCCAAGTACAATGAAACCCAAATTGAACAAACAAGCAATTCAGTATTTAACTTCAACGACAAGAAGTTATGTTGTTTTGTCATGCTTGCATGTCAAGTTCAAGATAAACACAAGAAGCATTCAATAATATCATAATATGATAGAAGGAACAATGTATATTAAACAATTATATAATCACAGAAACTATCCACATGAAGTTACCTGGATGACAGTCTTTGACCCAATAAATGCTTCAATCTTTTTCCAATCACGGTCAAAGCTACACAGATCAATTGAAGAAAACCATAATCAGCATTTAGGATTCTATTGCAACAATTGTGAATGAAAACAACGTATAAGAATGTTCAACTATAACTTCACACAATAGAAATAGTACTTCAAAGTCCAAGCACACCTAACAAAAAATAATGATGGTATGAATCTATAGTTACTTTTCTGAGTAACAAAGAAGTAATTTGTAGTACACCTTTATACAATACAACCCACATCTTCTAAGATATTTATTACCTTAATAATAGACATTTTGGTGCACAATATGGTTTTATCTTCAACAAGACAAAAAGCTTTGCTCATTTTATTTTTCCTTCAAAATTTCATTGCTTCTATGTGCCACTCAAAAAGTTAGTTGAAATGTGGTCTAACTGTACTAAAATAAGCTCACTTCTGATACATAAGTTTTGATTAGATTACTACGGCATGTGTGTGATAGCCATCAAGATTCGAACTAACAAACTGCAATCTAGCTTAAGGGACACGACACCGCATTCAACCAACTTGTTCCCAAAATTCTCTATCTACTTTAACTTAAAACCTCTTCACATTTTATATACGTTAGAAATGTACATCAAATGAGTCCCCTACCATCCCCTTAGGCTGGTAATGTAACCAAAACTAATATCATACCAAACCTAGAATTACATTATTTAAGCTTTTACACATCAAGAGCTTAAACTTTCAGTACAACAAACAAATGTATAACACTTACGCTCCAAAAAGTAAACAAAATTTAGAATGAATTTGTATTAAAACTATTGAATTGCTTTGAAACCATAGAACCCTAACCCCATTCAATTCACCATGCTAACACACACATTACCCATCCACGAATCCAAATAAAAAACCATCAAACTAACATGTGTGTGTGATAGCCATCAAACTTCGATGTTCAAACTAAAAAACTGCAATCTATCTTGAGGGAACATTGGACCAACTTGCTCTCAAAATTCTCTATCTACTTTAACTTAAACCTCTTCACATTTTATATCTGTTAGAAATTCACCTCAAATGAGTCCCCTACCATCCCTCTTAGGCTCTTAACGGAACTGAAACTGACATTACACCTAACCTAAAATTACGTTATAAGCTTTCACCCATCAAAAGCCTCAAATTCAGTAGAATAAACAAATTGATATCACTTATGCTAAAAAAGAATATGTATACAGAGAGAGAGAGTTCACATCAAAACTTACTGACTTGCTTTGAAACCACAGAAACTTAGCCCCATTCAGTTCACCAAGTGAACACACACATTACCCATCCATGAATTCAAAACCCTAAAATTCACACACCCCGGAAAAATTTAGAAAGAATTCGCATGGAAACTTACTGACTTGCTTTGAAACAACAAAACCCTAGCCCCATTCAACTCACCAATCTAACACACATTAACCATCCATGAATCCAATTTCAAACCCCAAAATTTAGAAAGAATTCGCATCAAAACATACTAATTTGCTTTGAAACCACAAAAACCCAACCCCATTCAATTCAACAAGTTAACACACACATTACACATCCATGAATTCAAAACCCCAAAATTCACACACCCAGAAGAAAAAATATAGAAAGAATTCGCATGAAAACTAATTGACTTGCTTGAAACCACAAACCCTAACGCCATTCAATTCACCAAGCTAACACACATTACCCATCCATGAATCAAAATTCAAAACCCCAAAATTTAAAAAGAACTCGCATTAAAACTTACTAAATTGCTTTTGAAACCACAAAACCCAAACCCCATTTCAATTCACCAAGCTAATTCGCATGAAAACTTATTGAGTTGCCACAAAACCCTAACCCCCACTTCAATTCACCAAACTAACACACGCACACATTACCCATCCATGAAACCCAAATTCAAAACCCCCAAAATTCACACAAACCCAGACCTAAAAAACAAAACCCTAATTTCAATTCAAAGCTCAGAATTCGAAGTGAGACTCACAGTTGGAGGGCTTCGAGGAACTTGTCGTGCTCGGGTTCAGTCCAGCTCTCTCTAGACTTGGTAATGGTGTAGGGTTTCCGGACCTTCTTGGATAGATCGTCAGAGGAGGAGGTGGTGGTGGTGGTGGTGGTGGAAGGCGAAGCTGCGGCGGTAGCGGTGGCGGTAGAGAAAGAGCCGAGAGGAGGAAGAGCCATTCCGGTTGGATCCAAGTAGAAGCCTTCGGGTTGTATTTGATTCACGGACACCATGTGTGTTTGTTGAGAAGTTTTTTTGAGCTTTGTTGTTAAGCTGAAGAAATACCGGTTTTTGGGTGAATTCTGAAGAAATACGATCATGGAAGAAAAAAATGAGTTATGACTGGAAACAAACAAGCCGACTTTACGGCTCCAATCCTGTCAGGTAGTTTTTATAGCTATGCATTATTGTATTTGCTGACGAACCAGTAAGGTTTTGCCACATAGTTTGCGAAAAACTATAGGTCGGTAGAAGATGAGGCAAACAAATCAGTGGGGCAATTTTTATTTATTTATTTTTATTATTTTTTTTCAGTTCCGTTTGTTTTGATGTAAAATTTTATATCAAAAATATTTTTCTGTTAGAAAAAAAATAAGTAAAACTTTCTTTTAAGAAAAATATCTTTGTATCAATTTTTAAAAAATGACTTTTAAAATTTTTGTAAGTTGACTCCCATTCACTATCTTTTCAATACATTTAGTTTTTTCAAGTAAATATCTTAGATCATTAAAAAGTCATAAATGATATTTTATTGAATTGAAATTTCTATATTAAGCAATGAAACATTTTTGTTTCCGGTGATATTACATGCATCAATTAGTATACAAATTAGTGCACCAACATTAGTTATAACATTATTATTTACCTCATTCATTATATAAATTTCAAATACCAAAAATATTTTAAATTATATCATATCATTAATTGATATACTAATTAGTACGCTAATTAGTACATATAGCATTATTCTTTTGTTTCAAGTGTCAATCAAACGCAAAAAAACAAACATAACCCAACAAAAGTTTCATACACTATGGACAGGCTTGGAGATTTTGCCTTGAAAAGAACAATACACACTACTATTATCAAAATATTTATAGTGATTAATTTCATATTTCATATTTTAAACTTCAAAATAATATAATTTTTTTATCTATGTGTCAAATTTTAATAAAATTTGTATTTTTTAGAATACTCTTGTCAAGATCTATTAAATAAAATCTATGTTGACCGTTAAATTATTTTTGAAAAAAATTAAAAATTTTAACATCCAAATTAACGCCAACAATAATTTTATTTTTTTTATAGAAAATTTTACTCTAATTCACAATAAATTTTACTGTAAAATTTTAGTATTTAATAATAAAATACCATCATCATCGCTAAATACCATAGTGACTATAATTGTTATTGTCGCAAGTATAAAATTTATTAATGTTAATAGAGTAAAATTTTGTTGTTAATTTAAAATAAATTCAACTAACAATAGACAGATTATATATTGTCATAGCAAATCATAGTAAAATTTTATTGTCACTCTAAAACAAAACATATTAACCAATAAAACACAAGTCACATATTATCAGAGTAAACAAAAGTAAAGTTTATATAAAAACAAACAAACATGTATTGTTATTTAATTAGACTCAATTAAAAATAATTCAAACAAATGAAACACACATTTTTAAATAACAAAATAATAATAATTATTATTATTATTATTTAAGTACAAGGGAGGTCCAACCAAGAAAAATTAAGCAATAACAATGCTTGCATGCCCTATAGTTAAGGGTGTAAATTTGATCCGGCCCGAACCAGACTATGTCGGGTTGCACGCGCTCTTGCCAAAATTCGAATCGACCTATGAGTCAGAAAATTAAGCCTAAGCCCAGGGAGTATTCGGGCCTTGGGTTGAGCCGACGAGCTTAGGCCTGGGCTCGGGCTTGAATCGGGCCTAAACATTTTTTTAATTTTTTTTACTAAAATTTTATTCTTTTCTACTGAAAATGACACTGAGTCTCGGATAGACTGAGTGGAAGTGGGTATTGAGTGGGCCAATGGGCCGGGCCGAATCCAACTTCAAAATGACAGTCCAAGTACAAGCTTAGGACCTCGAACTGGGCTTAGACACAAACCTAATTAGGCTAGACCCACCACAGGCTACAGTCCATTTTTACGCCCTATGACCTGTATATCTGAGGCAGTTCCTGACCATACATTTTTAATTAGGTAAAATCTAATTTATCCTTGTGATATTGCCCATGAGCAGTTTACTCCTATGACTTTCAAACATATGCGACGGACCCATATATGATTATGGTTTTAGAGCAAGCCCTCGTTTGAAATAAGTTTTTTAAAGTAATTTTTTAGTTTTTTAATTAAAATATGATGTAAAAAAATTAATATATTTGTGATGATTTTTTAATTTTTTAAGAAAAGACATGCAAAAAGTAGAGAAAAAATAAATTTTTTGACTTTTTAATATAAATTATTAATTTTTTTATTTTTTTAATGACTTTTTAATTAAAAAAATTACTTGTCAAACGAAACCTAAATTGCAAATGTTACAATTTCCATCCACTTTAACAAGAGTTGTGGGCAGGCACCTTCTTCTTGGCAATTGGGGAACAAATATCTATATTTCCCTCCAATTTTGGTGTGAGAAAAATACAATAATGCCCTACCTTTTTGAGTATAAAAACTTGCAACCATAGAAGGAAAGTTGAGCCACCAAAAAATCACTTTGGTCAGTTTTTTTTCATACCATTTGTTTATATATATATTTTTACTTATTTTAATTTTATTTTTTTTAATATTTGCTATTGTTTATCTATTTCTTTTACTTAGTTTAATTTTATTTTTTAATATTGGTTGCTATTTATCTACTGATGAGCCACCGAAAAAGCTTGTTGTTTACTTATTATTATTTTTGTAATGTTTTCTACTAATTTCATTTTTGAAAATGGAGGTACATCAATAATTTCTTCTTCAATAAAGCCGCTTATATGCTCTGTAAAATACAAACAGAAAGAAAAAAATTAGGACAAAAATAACTACTAAAAGTTAAATATTTAAATAAGGGTATAATAGTCTTTTTCATGCTAGGGTTAGTGGAGTTATGGCTTGTAGTTTAATCCAAAACCACGCTGTCTTTGGTTAGAAGATTTGAGGGGAGATTTGGAAAGGAAAAAAGAAAAGATAGGTGAAATATAAATAAAATATACAATCATTTCACCTAGTTTCACACGCCTTTTCCTTTTTCCTTTCCAATTTTTTCCCTAAATCCTCTAACCAAACACACCATAAGGGTTCATTGCATATATTTAAAAGCCAAGGGATAACCTGCTCCTGGGCAATACCAAGGGGGTAAATCTTACCCTTTTTAAATTTTGTAAATTTTAATCATTTTTTTTTTTTACTTTTACATTGATGATACACTTAAAAAGTAAAATATGTTTAAAGAAATTTTTAGAAAATTCAATAAATACAAAAAAATGAAAATATACTCTTAATATTTTTTATGGTTTTTTTTTTTTGTATTTAGTGAATTTTTATAATGAAGAATCAAAAAAATTCTACTTTTTAAATATATCTAGATTAAGTAGAACTAAAAAAAAATGGTCAAAAAATTAAAAACGTTCCCTATAAATAAAAAATACAAATTGAAAATGAAAAAAATTAGCACTAAAAGAATTTTTTTTTAAAAAAGAAAAAGAATCATGAGATGGAATTACATACTCCTGGAATTATGTTTCAAATGGCAAGAGTTAAACGGGATTTTTTTGGCTATTTTAACTACAAAAGACAGAATAGACTATTTTAGCCACAAAAAATAAAATATCACATCCAACTCATAATCATTACATTCTTCTCTCACAAAAAAAGCTAAAAAAGTCAAAAAGTCCTTCTCAAACCAAACTTTTTAGCCCAGACTAAAATAGCTAAAAAAATCAAAAAATCAAAAAGCTAACCCACTTCCCAAACGGAGGCTTAAAATAATTCTAACTTTCATAAAAGCACAAGTGGGTCTATGTGCTGTACGGATAAAAGTTTTTTTTTTTTTTTTTTTTTTTTTGGGTGAATGCAGATAAATGTTATGATATGAAGCACAACTAGCTTTTTACGCATCATAAACGAATAATTATTTTGAATTGTTTTCAATGAAATAAAAAATTTCACATAACTACTGTGTTTTATTATTTAAGTTTGGGAAAACTTTACTTCATCCTTTATGATTTGGATTATTTGCATTTTATCCCCTTAACATCTGGAAATAATCACACAATTTCTTATAATTAGTGAACCGAAGTGTACTATTAGATTCATTAATGATTTAATGAAAAAAATTAAAATATTCCTATATGTCGTCATTTGTTTGGAAAGTAAAAAACACTTTAACCCCTATACTTTTTATTCCATGTGTAATGAACATATAATCCTCTTATACATGTCACATAGATTGTTTCTAAATATTAATGAGGTAAGCCTCACATAATTAAAATCATAGAGGAATAAAATGAAATTTGTCTTTTAATTTTTTTTAAGGTTAAGTGGGTTAAAAATTGAACCTTTGAGGAGATTTAGACAAGCATTTTACAACCCAATCCCATTTGGTCGGGTTGTACGTTGATCTCGGCTTGTGAATTTTTCTAATTAATTGGAGAAAAAATGAGTTATGTAATCTTTGTTGGAATTTTAATCAAAATCAAATTAACTTTTGATTGAATTAATTCAATAATCTATGAGTGTTTTTTTTTTATAATTTTTTTTAGATAGGCATCTATGAGTTACAATGATTACAAAATTTAAGTTGAGCAATTTAAAATTATTTTAATTTATGACTTATTATTATTATTAACTGATGTTTAATTATAGATATTGTCCATGTCCATGTCTATCTGAAGTTTAAATATATTGCCAGAGAGATAAGTGTCAAGGTCTTTGTGATCTCAGGTACAAAATCAATTGCTTGATGTGCACAAATATTTTGTGTGGGGAAGTATTTTGTAAATGACAACACGTGGCAAATGTGACGCCAAAGTGTCAGCCGATGTGTTACGTGGCTTGATCAAGCTACCGAGATGATCTCGGTTAGGCCGATGTTATCTGCGAAGATACCGGAATCCGAGGTAAGCAGATAAGGGACAAGAGTCCAAGAATAGGGAAGGATCTCAGTCTGGATAGAGAGAAGGCTCAAGAAGAGTTTATCTCTATCTAGATGAAGGTCTAGGATGAGCATGGAACTTGAGTCCATTAAAGTGAGGTTTCCAAGGCGATTAAGTCACTACTGGTTATAAAAGCAAGGCACCCTCATGGGTTTAAGGTAAGTTCTTTCTTGTGAGTTTTAAGCACAATTTGCTACCTTTGAGAGATATAGA